CATTATTTCATACGTGGATTAGAGAACAGTGTTAGAATTTTTATATTTAATAGTTTAAAAATACATATTTTAACAAAATTAATGACAAAATATCTCTTAAATTTCTAAAAAATATAATAGATGTTAAACTGAATGATGATAGCATTTGTGTCAATGAGAGATAACTCTTTCATTGACTTTTTTTTCTCGTTAATCCTCATATATTTTCTCTATTGATTTTCAGAGAGTGAAAGGGAAGGGGGGAGGGAGAGAGGAAGAGAAAGAGAGAGAGGAGGAGAGAGAGTGAAGAGGAGAGATAGGAGAGAGGAGAGAAACATCAATGTGAGAGAGACACATCTATTAGTTGCTTTCCTCATTCCACCCTGTCTGGGGTCAGGAATCAGTCCGGTGTGCAGGCCTGCATCCTAAACACCTGGCAACACCAGCGAGGACTCATTAATTTTTAAATAAGTAGCCCATGACACTACCCTGTCTGCTGCTCACTTTCTTTCCAGTTTTTCCCACGTAGGACTTGATTCAAGCAGTATATATTGAATATTTTGTATGAAGTGGATACTCAGCAGTTATTTTTCATAATGTTCATTTGTAATAAATTCAGCATTTTCCATGTTTCCTCATGAGGATTAAAAAATATTTCTGTATATTGCTTTACCAGAAACTTGACTACTGAGATGATAATCTGACCTGTAGCAGTATTTCTCATGACTATATAGAATGTTATTTTCTTGTACCATTTCATTCAAGATGGAAAAAAAAAAAATCATTAGAGGGATGCAAAGGGAAGAAAATTTCAGTTGGCCACTGTGCTCCAGGGTTTGATGAATTGGGAGCTACAAGATGTAGTACAAAAACTAGTGGAAAGATCCTGTAAAACATGGCTGAAATAAACGGGTTTCATTTTAAAAACAAAACCAAACTCCACTGACATGTGCAGATCATTTACATCTTTAAGTAAAATTGTTTGAAATCCAAAAGTGGGCATTGTGCCTCATTGTTTGAAAATAATGGCTTTAAATTTTGCTTTCTGCTTTGGGTGTGATATCTGTAATGTCAAGTGAATTAATTTAATTGTACAGTGGGGCCTTGACTTACGAGTGTCCCGACTAACGAGTTTTTGAGATACCAGCTGTCTCTTGGCCGATTTTTTTGCATTGAGTTGACAGAGTAATATGAGTTAATGAGCTCCTTAACGAGCTCGGTCTCGGAACGAATTAAACTCGTAAGTCAAGGCCCCACTGTATTTCCTAATTGTTAAAATTTTATCTGTTTCTGAAGGCTAATGATAGGTCAAACAAGAAGGCCACTTTTTTGGGGGGGGGGATATAAATTGTGCAATTTAAGGAAAAACTGATTTTAATGGGGAAAAACAGTAACTGTTCATTGACTGTTGGTTACTCAGGGCTTTGGTTCTTAATGATTTCTGAGTCATAGAAGCCATTTTAATACTTTAATAAAAGCTAAAGACATTCTCCCCTACCAAAGTAAAAGCACATTCACAAACATGAGAAACGCTTTTCTGAAATTTCAGTTGGATTTCTCTAAGGCCATAACTTTTCTTCCAAGGGCCATAATGAATTCATATGTCACATTTGTCATTCACAACACAGCTTTTGCCAAGCAGGTCTAAGGTAGAGGAGCTACTTCTCTACAAGACTCAAACCACATTCTGCCACACACAGGTGTATATTATCACTCATTAGTGAAGCAGGCTCAAAATAGTTACTGCAGTGTGTTACATACGCTTGATGAAGGTTCAGCTCTCCATCCTCTCAGGTGCCTTGACTGTCACTTTGTATGAAAGTTTCATCCAGGCAGACACAGTGACATTTTAGAAATAGGATTCAGTTACCTTTACATTCAACATAAGGCAGCAAAGAATCCTTCTAAACCCATGACTGGACCGGGGACCTTGTGGAGATTAAGTTTTGAGAGCTATCTCTGAGGGTAAAGGCTGAGGCCTCACTGATTCTGTTCATTCACAAGTGTCTCTAGCGTCTTTAAATTTTGTAGTCAGTCTACATTTCTTGAATACTCTACTTTCAATAGGTGAAAAACCGTTTCTAGCAAGAATCCTGCCAGTGAACAAGCCATGGTTTTTACCAATAAAACTAATTTCTGAAGTTTAATATACTAATTAGCAAACCTTAAGTTGTTATTTGAGATATTTATAATAGAAGTATTTATAGGTGCTGTCTATGGAATTGGGATTCTTGTTAGAGTGCCTTGGTCTTTGCATTCTTGAGTATGGCTGGATACTCTTAGACTTGAAATTTGAACTACATAAACATATTTCATTCTTTTTAAAAAAAATATATTTTATTGATTTTTCACAGAGAGTAAGGGAGAAGGGTAGAGAGTTAGAAACATCGATGAGAGAGAAACATCGATCAGCTGCCTCCTGCACATTCCCTACTGGGGATGTGCCCACAACCAAGGTACATGCCCTTGACTGGAATCGAACCTGGGACCCTTGAGTCCGCAGACTATTCACTGAGACAAACTGGTTAGGGCCATATCTCATTCTTTATGGTCAAGCATTTATTTATTATTTTTTTGTTAATCTTCACTGAGGGATATTTTTTCCATTGCTTTTTAGAGAGAGTGGGAGGGTGGAATGGAAGGAAGGAGGCAGGGAAGGAGGGAGGGAGGGAGGGGGAGAGATAGAGAGAGGAGAAACAGAGAGAGAGATAGGTAGAGGAGAGACAGAGAGAGCCATCGACTGGCTGCCTTGAATAGGGCCAGGGATCAAAATTGGGACTCTTGGAGTAATTATTTGTATGCTTTATATCAGTGAGTTACCTTGTTTTATACTCACCTGCTTTTCATTCATCTTCCTGTCAGTGGTAGATTTTAGTCCCAATTTTGTGATGTCCTAGAGCCGTGGTCGGCAAACCACGGTTTGCGAGCCACATGCGGATCTCTGGCCCTTTGAGTGTGGCTCGTCCACAAAATTCCACGTGCGGGCATGCATGTACAGTGCGATTGAAACTTCTTGGCCCATGCGCAGAAGTCAGTATTTTGCAGAAGAGCCGGTATTTTGTGGAAGAGCCACACTGAAGGGGCCAAAGAGCCGCATGTGGCTTGCGAGCCGCTGTTTGCCGAGCCGCAGTTTGCCGACCACTGTCCTAGAGAGGTGGTTCTCAACTTTCCTTATGCCGCGACCCTTTAGTACAGTTCCTCATGTTCTGGTGACCCCCAATTTCATTGTTACAAATTGAACATAATTAAAGCATAGTGATTAATCACAAAAACAATTGTTATGCCCAGATTTCAAGATTCCCAATAGACCAACAGGGAGCCAGCCAAGTCCGATGCAAAAGCAGAGAGTCTTTATTACTATTACAGACCCTGGTCTGGCTCCCAGCCTCTACCGATGCAACGGCGAGACGAGAGAGCCAGCCCCGTGGGAAAAAGGGGTTTTAATAGGGGGGAGGAGAGATGACTGTGGGCCCTGCTTATTGGCCAGGTGCAAGTCGGGTCTTGTTACACAGGATGTGGTCATATCTATGGCGTGCACATCCCTTGATTGTCATTGGTTAGTTTAAAGAAATCCTGGGTGTGGCTAGCAGAGTCTTGGGCTTCCGGGAAGAAGGTGCTTGCTGAGCACGTGGCTGCTGCCCCAACATGGAGGATTCGGGGCAAGATGGAGGGCGTAGCCCTCGCCCTTTCACAATATGTAATTATATATGTGTTTTCCTATGGTCTTAGGCAACCCCTGTGAAAGGGTAGTTCGACTGCCAAAGGGGTCGTGACCCACAGGTTGAGAACTGCTGTCCTAGAGTGTATTCACCATTGACTGTCTCATGGTGGGGTCCCCAGTGTATTACATTGTGCATGGCTGTAATATAGTGTCTGATAAACGAATTTTGCTTGAATAAATGAACATTCAGAATCCCTATTGAACAAAATCTTAGACAAACATTTTATTTTAGAATAATTTTAGATTTACAGAAAAGTCACAAAGATAATGTAAGAGTTCCTTTATACCCTTTACCTACTTTCCTCTACTGTTAACATCTTATATTACTACTAGAGGCCTGGTGCACAAAATCGGTGCACTGGGGTAGGGGTGGGGGGTTGCCTCTCAGCCTGGCTTGAGCCCTGTCATAGTCTGGGCCCCTTGGGGGATGTAGCAGTGTGCCAAGCAGCAGGCGGCCAGGGAAGAGTCCGAAACGGGGCCGGGTGCTGCTCATGCTCATTCTGGCCCGCTGTGTCTGCTGCTGCAGAGTCAGGAGAGGCTCCCGCCGTGGCACCTGTGCTCGCCAGCTGTGAGCACGGCTTCTGGCTGAGCGATGCTCCCCCTGTGGAAGCGCACTGAACACCAGGGGGCAGCTCCTGCGCTGAGTGTCTGCCCCCTGGTGGTCAGTGCGCATCATAGCAACCGGTCGTTCCGGTCGTTCTGCTGTAATAGTCGCTTAGGCCTTTATTATATAGGCTAGAAGCCTGGTGCACAAACTCGTGCACCATTGGGGTCCCTCGGCCTGGCCTGCAGGATCAGGCCGAAACCGGCTGTCTGATATCCCCCGAGGGGTCCCGGATTGTGAGAGGGCACAGGCCAGGCTGAGGGACCCCACTGGTGTATGATCGGGGCCGGGGAGGGACACGGAAGGTTGGCCAGCCAGGGAGGGACCCTGGGAGGGCTCCAGGGCATGTCCGGCCCTTCTCGCTCAGTCCCAATTGGCCAGTACTAGTCAGAGTGTCTGCCCTCTGGTGGTCAGTGCACGTCATAACGACTGACTGATCAACTGTCTGCTCCTGGTGGTCAGTGCATGTTAAAGCGAATGGTTGAGCGGCCTTAGCATTCATTAGCATATTACGCTTTGATTGGTTGAACGGCCAACCGGTCCATCAGACACTTAGAATATTAGGCTTTTATTGTATAGGATATTACATTTGTACCATCTAAGAAATTAACATTGGTACATTACTGTTAACTACTGGTAAATACCGCACTTCATTCAGATTTCACTAGTTTTCCCCTAATGTCCTTTTTCTTTTTTTTAAATATGGAACGCTTCACGAATTTGCATGTCATCCCTGCGCATAGCCTTGCTAATCTTCTCAGTATCTTTCCAATTTTAGTATATGTGCTGCCGAAGCAAGCACGTCCCTAATGTCCTTTTTCTGTTCCAAGATCTCATCCAGGGTACCGCAGTGCACTTAATTGTCCTGTCTAGTCTGTGACAGTTTGTCAGATGATCCTTGTTTTTGACACTTTTAAGGAATACTGTTTTGTAGAATATCAGCTGTTTAGTGGAATGTCCTTTAGTTTGCATTTGTCTGATGTTTTTCTCATATTTAGAGTAGGGTTATGGGTTTTTAGGAGGAAGATTTCAGAGGTGAACTAGCATTCTTACTATATCACATCAGGAGTAGATACAAGTAATTTTGCTTTTAATATTTTGATCTCAGAAGGGAGAAATGGGGAGAACAAAAAGGTGGAATTTAAGTCAGTCACTTCTGCCATGGTAAAAATTGTGGTAAAGATTAGGTGAGGGAACTGAATCTAAAAGAAAAATTTAAATTTATTTGGGGGAATTCAGCCTTTGGTTTTCCTGTCATACATCACTTTGGATGTTTGAGAGTTGGTTGTATTTACTTTATTTTAACATTTGACTGATATAAATCAGAGAAATGAACAGGCCAATGGTATATAGATATTCATCAAGGTCAGATTGCAATAATCTTTTCAAAGTCTCTCAACCAATCTTTAGAAGTCAGAAAAATTTTTAATTGGATATTTTTTTCTTTTCCTCTGCTGCTATATTTTTTCTTTCCCTGCGCTGTTTTGCATTAAGGTTTATGTTTTTCAAGCTGAGTTAATGATACTGAGAAACACTTGAAAGCATTTGTCACTAGAGTAGTTTATTCCTTAATTAATGGTGATGTGTTTTGCAGACAGGTGGCACACTTTAATGTGTTACAGAGACTAGTCTTGTTAGTTATTGATTAGTAATGAATAAATTACTGCCATTTTTAATCATAGGAAACTTTCTTTGGAGGATAATTAATCAGATTCATGTATTTCTTAGCCAATGTAGGATTATCATCTTTTTTAGTTACAAGAATGAACCTGCCTGCCTCTGGCCTGGGTAAGTTCGGGATAGAGGAGACAGGTTTTTAGGTTATATTTTGATCTTTATTTTTGTTAAGCAGATGAGAAGAGTACTTGCTTAAAAATTACTTTAAACTGCCTTTCCTGTTGAGTAGGTTTTGAACTACCTGCTTGACAGATGGTGTTGGAAGTAATTACTGAAATCATGTGTTTACCTGTACATGGACATGTGTTCACCAGATGTACCCTGTTTACTCAGAGCTGCTGATTTCTTAAAGAAATATACACCTTCTGGATAGAGTTGCATAACTTAGGAGAAAGAATAAAAGCTCAGCCAGCCACAGCTCTCAGTCTATCTCAGTTGCAGAATCAACTGTAGTGAGAAGACTCATTTCTCTTAGTGAGTGGTAGGGTAGCCCAGAGAACTACTTTCAGCATCATTTATCTTTCCTTCTTTTGATTTACTTAGTAGTTTAATCTTACCTGTCTACTAAATTATTTAATAGCTCCTCCCCCCAATATAGATTGAATTGTAGTAATACTGATCAGTCTTTTAATATGATGGTTATGGTTCATTATATTATTGTGTTATTTTTACTTGATATTTTTAAAAACATATTTTCCAAACCAAATGTTAAAGATGTAGTCATCACTCAGTTTTTAAGTTCTGATATTGGAGGCCTGGCTTTTGTATTAAGCATTTTTTTTAACAACACATAGATAATTCCTATATTCATGAAGATTGAGAATAGCTACTTTAATGTTTTATTTATTAACCATCAAAACCTAATTTATGTTTCCCCCTTCATTTCTATTTTACTTATGTTAAAAATTGTAAAAACTCACGGATAATGACCCCTTTAATATGTGTGCTTTACGCGTTCACTTTTTAAGCTGAGTACATTTAACTGTCTATAAACCCTGAGAAACAAGGAAAGCCATTGTTTCAAGATTTTGACAGGTGCAAAACTGTAAATAATTACAGGCCTGGGCAGAAACTAGAACAGGAGTTGCACAGCAGCTGGCAGGCCTGGCCTGTGGCAGGTCTGACCTGAGTTAAGTAGCCTTACTTTTCTGGCAAGCTCAGATTTGTTTTATAGTATGAAATTCACCTCTATTACAGAAAGATTCTACTGATTGAGACTAGATATCAGTTGCAAAGGGAGAAACGTATACAGAATATTGAGGAAGAAAACTGCCCACTGAGTCACCTTTTGTACAGCTTCAGGGCCAGATGGAACTTGTGTTGATGAGTTTTAAAATGGACTCACATGTTGACTGAAATAAATCACTCAACACCAAATGGTATACAGCAATAATACCTGAGGAGGGTGGTCTGTTTTTTTTGTTTTTGTTACATATGTAACAGTTTTAAAACATTTTAACTTCTAATCTTATGAGCATATCTGACTTTTGTGAAGAGGAAAGCAATTTAATTATTTATATCTTGGGAATACCTGAATTGTACTTTTCTAGGTCTTTATGGAGAGTAATGCTATTTCTAATGACATTTTATCATCTTCAGATTCCATTAGGCAGTTCCCTAACTCAAAATGACCTGATTTGTTGCTGCTCTATAAAGAAGGCTACCTGCTGCCATAGCCCCTCCACATACCATATTGTTACCCTGGAAAGTTTACAAAGGACAGGGTTCTGCTAGGACAGAATTAAAAGGCTGATGACTTGTGGGCCCAATCTAACCTATAGATGGGGTTTCTTTGGCTTGCACAATATTTTAAAATTTTGACAATTTTAAATTTGAAAATGTGTTTCTGACTTTTTTGGAAAATCTGATGATATGGCAACCCTGGGCCTGCATTCCTGCAATTGGTTGGAACTGAGTAGCAGCTGCCCCTTTCTACTCGGCTTTCTCCAGTCCTTATAATTCTCTATTGTTTATTCACTTCCCTTACTTACCTGTAGACATTTGAGTTAATGACCCTTGGACTAGAAGATGTGTGGGTTTAAGAGTGGACAAACCTGGAGAAAAGGACAGTTTTTAGGAGAGATTTGTAGAGCCTTGATCCAGTTACCATTGATTTGCCTTGTGCTATGTTCCCTCCATGCTCTCTACCTCTTATTTCATCTAGTGCCTGTGTTTTCTCTTCACTATTATGAGAACTATATCCACTAGAACTTAGAGTTATGGTCCCCCAACCACCCTTAGTAAAGTAAATTTTCTAGGACCTGGAATAGGTTAGGAATTTTCTGAATGATTACTAGTCCTTTAACTTACATATTAATATGTTTTGGTTTAATCAGTTTTTCTCATCATTTTTTTTTTTTTTTGGTGTGTGTGTAGAAATCAGCTTTATTGAAGGATGAGAGTTTGATTAAAAAAGGAATATAGAGACCTAGCCCGTTTGGCTCAGTGGATAGAGTATCAGCCTGCAGACTGAAGGGTCTGGGTTTCTGGTCAAGGGCATGGGGATTCTGGTCAGGAACACATACCTGGTTGCAGGATTGATACTGCACATGTGGGAGGAAACCAAGCAATGTTTCTCTCTGTCTCTCTTCCTCCCTTCCACTCTTTCTAAAAATCAATGGAAAAATACTGGGTAAGGATTAATAAAACAAACAAACAAACAAAAGGAATATAGACATTTTTAAAGCTCTGGGCATAAGAAGAGAAAGAGCTACAGGACTTGCTGTTGGGCTTTAAAATATTTAAGGTTTGATTTCCCGACAGGGAGAAAAAAGAAAAAAGAGGGCAAATCATGATATATTGCCATAGTAGGTGACTTAAGAGGACTGTTGGCAATGAGACCCTTGACAAAATGGACAAAGGAAGTAGGTGGATCCCAGAAATTAAAATTTTCCTAGATAGGACAAAAGAAATGGTTCTCTTCTTCCTCCTTCTCTGACACGCCTCTGTACTCTGGTGTTTCAATTCTTATGACCCAGAATCTATGGGATAAGTATGCTCTTTCTTTGTTTCTAGATAGGAGGAGAGAGAGAAGAACTGGAGTAGAGTTGAATTGAATTTGTCTAAGAATCTCACTAGTAAAATATATGAAAAATTAATAAAAAACACCCACCTCCATTGTAAGTTGACTTTTGGCACATAGCTAACTCATAAATTGGGTGGTTCTGAGCTTTGTTAAATAAAGTTATTAGAAAAGGAGTGGAGTAGACCAGGGGTTTGCAAACTATGGCCTGCAGGACAAATCTAGCATGCTGCTTGTTTTTGTAAATGAAATTTTATTGGAACATAGTTGCACCCATTAGTTTACATATACTTTCCATGGCTGCTTTCACAGTGTAAGGGCAGAGTTGAATAGTTGTGACAGAGATCATATGGCCCTCAAAATTTGAAATATTTATTATCTGATACTTTATAGAAAAAAATGTGCTGACTCTTGGTATAGATGATTTTATCCCAAAGAGAAAAAACAGCCCTCTATGTACTCTAAGTTAATTTTTATTTAAAACAAAGGGAATTAGACATATGACTGGTTATATATATATATATCTATATCTATATCTATCTATATCTATATATATATATATTGGTTATTTTGCAACTATTTATAGAGTTATTGTTTCATTTGAATGGAATGAAAGTTATAATGTTTATAAAGATTACAGTTGGTGTACAATTTTATTATGCCATTGACTATAGCTATTTCTGGTGAGGATTATAATAAGTTAACAGGAAAATATGAAGTAATATAGTTGGTAAAAAAATGATGTAATAGTAAAAATTAGTAAAATAAAAATTTTGTTATGTTTTGGGATACAGCTTTTTGGAGGGAAGAGTATAATGTTATTTAATTAATTTTACACAATATTTTTGGGAATATATTTAATGAACAAATGTGTACATATGGTCCTTTTCATTATTAATTTAAATGTTGAAGACTGCTAAAAGTTTTAGTTATTGGGGAAATAGTGAACTTTCATTTAATGATCAAGTTAAACATGAATAAACTTATGTCTTTCTTGCTTTTAATTTTGATAACATTTGAAAATAGCAGGTGTGTATTGTGAGATTCATTCAGCATGGTGAGTGTCTCAAGAGTTAACACTGCTCTCAGCACTGGGAGTTCAG